AGTGGGACTAAATTGAAACAAAAAATTATTATAAGGGACTAAATTAGGTTTTTAGCCTAGATTTTATACGACATTATTTGAAAGATTTCATAACAAAATTTAAAAATAAGAATTAAAACAATATTTTTAAAATTACATGAACTAAAAACAATAATTTTAAGTTTGAGAGATCAAAAATAAATTTATCTTAAATTTGTATATTTAAATCTAATTTTAATATAAATTATTATTATATTTGTATTTGAGATAAAAGTTAACATAATTAATAGACTAAAGTAATTTTTATATATGTAAAAATATTTATTTATTATAAATTTTAATCGTATATAAAATACACATTTATATTGTTCATTGTTAAAATACTATTCTTTGTTCCAAAATTTTAGTCCTTTTACCCTTTTTTTTCCATCAAACAATTGTTTAGAATTTTAAAGTTTAATTAATATTTTTCTTTTCAAATATACCTTTATTTAATATGCATTTACTAATAAACGGTTGGTTTGATTAAACAAGTCAAAATCTGTGGATTAAAAAAATATAAGTGAAAGAAAAAACTTTATTATAAAATGTGATCAATCAATTTTTTCGACAAAAATTGACATGCAAATATGACCTCTTAATTAGTTATAATATGTGTTCATTGGATTAATTTAATCTGACCAATCCAACACTTTGAATTAAATCAATTAAATTGGTTTAGTTTTTTTAATTCAATCTAAACTAAACTAATTAAATTTGATGTTGATTGGTTTAAATATCAAATTTATATATTTAAAATTTGAATTAAACTAAACTAAAACAATTAATTTATATATTATTATTATTTTTATGTAGTTAATAATTAATATTTATGTATATTATTTTAACTCTAAAAAAATGTATATTATTTTAAGGATATTTTTTAGTTACAATATGTATATTTTTTTATTCTTGTTTTCAAATGCTTAAAAGAAATCAAGAAGAACTATATTATAATATATTGAGTGGCATTTTCAAACATTAATCTTTAAGTAGATTAAGAAATGAAATCAAGAAGAATTATATTGTAAATCTATTAATTTAATTATTTTTTGTTAATATATCAATTTAGTAGATGTAAATTAAAAAAAAAATTTAATTTATTTTTTTTATAAAAATTATTATATATTTAATGACTCGAACCGAATCGACTCAATTGATATCGGATTAATTTATTTAAATTAAAAAAAATTAAGAAATATAAACCAATTCAAATTAATAAAATTTAATTAATTTAAATTAAATTTTCATGCAAATTCAAACTAACTCGATCAATGAAAACTACCTTTTCACTCGTGTTTCATGCATGAAGACTGGGGAGTGGAAATTAATTAAGGGGGCCAACTTTTGGTGTCTTGTTTAACCTCACATCTAGGGATGATAATCGAGCACGTCGGGTATGAATTTCATGATACGTGTCTCTGTTTTCGCAATTTAAATTCATTCCCGTACTCGTATTCGTACTTATTGAGTATGTAATTTCTTTTCCTATTCTCGTCTCCGTCGGGTATTGGATATATCCGTATTCATACTTGTAAAAAATTATTATTATTTTTTATAAAAAAATATATAATATTTTTAAATTATTTTTTCATTATATTATAATTATAATTAAATTATTTCTCTATCACATATTTTTATCAAAAGATTTTTTAATAATTAAAATACTATAAATGTTTCACATTAAAATAAATAATTACACATAATAAAATATTAAATTTTTTTAATATAATTCAATTAGAAACAGATACGGTACATGTATATATATACCCGTACTTGTACCCATACCCAATTTAACATATCAAATTTTATCTGTATTCATATCCATACCCGATCAAACTAACCTGTCAAAGTCAGAATAGATTTGTATATTACTCACGTGTTTATTTGCCATGCCTACTCACATCACCACTCCTTTATGGTACGTTAAAATTAAATCACAATAATAGCTGAGTAGGGAGTGGGTGGTAAGTCTAATCGTGTCTACAGTCTAAGAAACTGCCACGTCCATGTAGATAATTAATCAAGGTGTCTTGAGAGTTGATATTAACATCTTTTCGATCTGAATTCCAACATCTTCTATCTGCCATGGTGGACCGTATCAGATTTCATGAAGTGGTCTGAACAGGCATGCATCATGGGTCCATCCAGTTAAGTTTAAGATGTGATATGAGTGTTGTAAACAATTCCACCATTTTTGATTCACGAGCAAAGTGAAGGTCAATAATTTCTCTGATTGTACTGAAAATATCTTAGCCACACGTTTTTATATGACAGTCAATTCACATTTACATGCACCACAATTGCAATAATGACGCCCAGTCAGAAACTCAATAATAAAATAGATGCTCTCATTGCTGTACCTAGACATTTGTTTTTTATTTTAAGTGTGTTAAATAGGGGTGGGCAAAACGAACTGAATTAAACTGAATTTATAAAAATTATATTGAACTTAAAAGTAGTTCATATGAACTGAACTAAACTAAATATTAGTTCAGATTAACTGAACTGAACTATTCTTTTGTGTCATTAAACTGATCTGAACTATACTATAAAAACTTGAACTGAACTATAATTTAAACTGCCTGCACTAAACTGTTATGATATTTTGAATTGAACAATTTTGACTCATTTATCTATCAAAATAGGACACATTTGCCAACTTTACTTTATTTTCCATTTTATTTAAAATTTTCAAAGGAAAAAAATATAAAATTAAGTCAAACAAACTCAGTAAATTTTAAGCCTAAAAATAAGTAGTTCAACATAGCTCAATTGATCCGTTAAGTTCGACAAAATTGATACAATTTTTTTAGATCACTTTTTTTCTAAAGTTTTGATTATTAGACTATCGAGCTAATCCATTAAGACATAACATGTTAAACACATTTAATTTTTATTCTTTTATAAAAATAGTTTAATTTTTATAATTCAGTTCAGTTTTTATAGTTCAGTACAGTTCAACTTTACAATAGTTCAGTTCAGTTTAATTTTTTTTAAACAGTTCAGTTCAATTTTTTTACAAACAGTTTAGTTTTTTATAATACAGTTCACCACCAGTTCAGTTCAGTTCAGTTTAGTTTAGTTTTTTTTCCCACCCCTACCGTTAAACGTGCCATTGCCAAACCAATCATTGTGCATTGCATCACTGTTTCTATATTTTGTTTCTATGATAGCCACACCACCCTACTATATACCCACCTTTAGTCTTGTTCCTTATTATTGAATCATAAGCCAATCTCTTTTTGCCTCATCAATTCCTCTGGTTAGAGATGATGGCTCGAGAAACCAAGACATGGTTGGTTATGCTGCTTCTTTTCTTGGTTGCAAACTACATGCAACATTGTGTTCATGGGGTACCCCAAGTGCCTTGCCTTTTTATCTTTGGGGACTCTTTATCAGATAGTGGAAACAACAATGATCTTCCAACTTCTGCAAAATCTAATTACAAACCATACGGGATTGATTTCCCAACAGGACCAACCGGAAGATTTACCAATGGCCGAACAGAAATTGACATAATTAGTAACATTTCTCTACAATGAGACCTCCAATCTCCTTTTTTATTAATTTTTATTTTTAATTTGAGCATTCAGTGCTGCTATCAAAGATTTATTTATTTTATTCAAATCTAGTTATTAATTATAGGGATCATGTTCTTGGATGGACTACCTTGTGTATATGTTAACTAAGCATTTTTTTAATAGTGCTGAAAGAATAAAAACCGTATTTATTTATAGAGCAAAGTGTTTTTTCTCTTGCCCTGTGCTTTATGTTCAAGCTAAGACTGAAGTTCTACAATTGCAGCTCAATTTCTGGGATTTGAGAAATTCATCCCACCCTTTGCAAACACTAGTGGTTCAGACATACTTAAAGGTGTGAACTATGCATCAGGTGGAGCTGGAATACGCGTTGAAACCGGCACACATTGGGTATAAATCAAAGGGTCTAGTTCTTTCTAGTTTTTCTTCAATTGATTTATGGTAGATGACTAGAGTGCTTATGTCACAATTCTCATGCATGCTATGCAATGCAGGGTGCTACTATCAGCTTGGGATTGCAGTTAAAAAATCACAGAGCCATAGTTTCTCAAATTGCTTCCAGACTTGGAAGTCCTGAATTAGCTCAACAATACCTTGAAAAGTGCTTGTATTATGTGAACATAGGCAGCAATGATTACATGGACAATTACTTCGTTCCCCAGTTCTACCCAACAAGCAGCATTTACACTCCTGAACAGTATACACAAGTTCTGATTGAAGAGTTATCTCAGAATTTGCAGGTATGTATTCAATTTCTCTGCTTCACAAACGATTAGAATATGAATAATTCAATCGTAGATCCTTCTACTAATCAGTTTATTTGTTTTGTATGATAAGGATAGAATATTTTATTTTATGTTTTCAAGACATTAAGTATTAGGAATATAATAGTTGGTGGATATAACATCACTGGAATAATTGTTGCAATATTTTTTCCTTAATTTAAGGGATTCAATAATTTTTTTTTTTTTTTTGTAAATAAAGAATTTAATTTTCTGTAAACCAAGAAATTATAGTTAGCAGATTCATGAACAAAGTTACTTTATTTTTTTTTAGCTTTCTCTCTCTCTATAATTGATGATTACTTGCACAGTTTCATATATAAATAATATACATGAAAATATTCTTTTTAAACTTTGACTTGGTACCAGTATTGGAAAAAATTTAAGTTCCACATTCACTATAGATAAGACAATTAAAAAATATATAAGTAGAGAACACCCCTTATTTAACATACTAATTTTGTATGATTGAATTAAGCTCAAATTCACTATTTTAAATGATGATATCATAGCTATCTAGATCCATTCTAAATGGATCACTCACCATTGATACATGTATCATGGGTATTGAAACTTGTAGAAAGATTGATGTATCTAGCACACACAAGGCCAAACCTTGCTTATGCTTTGAGTATTGTTAGTCAAAGAGAAACATATAAATATTGTTATACGTATTTTGAGATATTTAAAGTCTACTGTGGGGAAATGAATTTTGTTCTAAAAAAAAATGGAAATAATCAAAGTGTGAATGTATATATAGACATTGATTGGGCTAGATCTATAGATGATAAAATTTACTTTAGGTTACTTTACTTTTGTTGGAGGTAACCTTGTCACATGAAAAAATAAAAAATTAATGTTGTTGTTTCACGTTCAAGTGTAGAAGTTGAACTTAGAGGGATGACTCTTTGGTTATATAAAGCACCATGGCTAAGTTTTCTCCTATCAAATTTGAGTTATCCACTTGAGCAACCAATTCAATTGTATTATGATAATAAGGCTCTATGTGATGTAACTCACAACCTAATTGAAAATGATCGTATGAAGCATGTGGAAGTAGATAGATTCTTCATAAAGGAGAAATTGGATGAGAAGAGTTATCAAGGATACAATCAAAGGATCAATTAACAGATATCTTGACTAAAACAGTTTCATCTCAAGTGTTTTCAAATGTTGTAGATAAATTGGGTATGTGAAACATCAATGCACCAATTTGAGGGTGAATGTTGAAATATTTTTTTACTTAATTTAAGGGAATCATAATTTTTTTTTCATAAATCAAGGATTTAATTTTCTATAAATTAGGAAACTATAATTAACATATTTGTGAGTAAAATTACTTTTTTTTAAAACTTTTTTATTTTATAATTGATGGATATATATTTCGTGCAAAGTTTCGTATAATAATTAATAATATACATGAGAATATTTTTCTTAAAATTTAACTATAATAATAGTAGCATGTCAATTGAAGCTGCACCACTTATGATATGATGATGGTTTGAGCTGAGCTATTTGATTTTTGTGGGCAGGTTTTGCATGACGTTGGAGCGAGAAAGTATGTGTTGGCAGGGTTGGGCCTTTTAGGATGCACTCTAGCTGAAATATATTCTTATGGGACAAATGGATCTTGTGTTGAAGAGCTTAATGCTGCTGCAATCATGTTCAATAACAATCTTAAAGCTCTAGTGGATCAATTCAATAACGACTTCTCTCCTAATTCCAAATTCATCTTTATAGACACTGCATTAAAGGCCCTTCAGTTGAGCAACACAGATGGTAATAACTAGTAAAATTTTCTTATTCTTCGATCCACATGTTAAAATCAATTGATTTTATTTTTATAATATGTATTGACATTTAATAAAATTATTTATCACACATATTATTAAAATAAAACTCTAATTCTGATCAGCAATAAATAAAAAACACATATGGTTCAGCATATCCTATCGTATAATATATCATAAATAACGAAATATAATGCATGTGTGTCAGCTTTTTTGGTTTCGGATGCTGGTTGCTGTGGATGGGGGTTATTAGGGGATTGTATTCCTGATGAAAAGGCGTGCTATAATAGGAGTGACTATGTGTTTTTTGATGGAGTCCATCCCACAGAGGCATGGAACCTACTCAATGCAATAACATCTTATAATTCTACCACTGATCCAGCCACAGCATACCCAGTGGATATCCTGCACCTGGTTGACACTGAAATTAAAATGGAATTGGTGGAGTCCATTTCAAAACTTAGTGCCATGCACTGAATGAGTTCTTGTTATCATATGTACCTGAATAAACTCTGAGTTGAATATGTACTAAGTAATGGCATGCTACTGTGTTCAACCACCAAATTAATGAGTAAATTGGATATCCTACCTCAAATTTCATCCAATATGTATTGTATTTTAATTACTTGATTCTTGTAAGCTGTCACGAAAAGCATGTAGGACTAGGCATATATGTTCCACGAGTTTAAAATAACTTTTGAGAACTCTTTTCCAAAACAATTCAAACGAACCCTATGTTGGGTGGGATTGAAGTAACACACACGTAATCCTAGGTTTTGATAGTGTATAAATAAAAACAGGCGCTCTAAATTCCATTCGCATATGTATTGTCCGGTTTAGGGTTTAGGGTTTAGGTTCGCCCAAATTCATATTTTTGGGGTTTAGGGTTTAGGGTTTAGGGTTTAGGCGCTCTAAATAAATAGGTTCGCCCAAATTCATGTGTCGATATGCCGTTAGTGGACGCAAAACTAAAAGAATATGATTTTTAAATAAATCTAAAAAAAAATAAAATAAAATTATAAATAAAATATAAAAAATAATAATTATCAAATTTTCTCATATGTTAACTAAATAACTGACCTTAAATATATTTTCGGTTTACCAAGTATTATAATTGTATGATTTTAGTTTTTTAAATTTTAATTGAATATTTTTTGTTAATCAAATATTTTAATTGTGTAATTTTGATCTTTTAATTTTTAATTAAGCAATTTGAGTTTCTCAATAGTTGTAATTATACAATTTTAGTCTCTTATTAAAAGTTTAATGATTTTCATTGATATGACACTAACAAGTGACATGGTACATTGATGCTTTTAATTAATTTTTTTTAATATATTTATCTCATCTACTTTAATATATGTATATTTTGTAAAACAAATATTAATATATTAATTTATATTTATGAAATTATTAATTAATCTATAAATATATTAAAATATACTAATAATATTATTGATATTAATTTATTAATAATATTATCTTACTAATAACATACATACATTTTATTTATCTAGTAATAATATATCATTTGATATATGAATGAAAATTATAACATACGTAATTTAAATAGGTCAAAATTAATATAATTTTAAAATATTATATATATAATAATAATTTTAAGTTTATTAGAATTTAAATGTGAGAAACAAAAATCATATAATTGTGATTTAAAGGATATATTAAATTGATTCAATTAAAATTTGGAAGATCAAACTTGCATAACTGTAATATTTAAAAATTAAGATTACTTAAATTAAATTTTAGAGACCAAAATTGCATAATCACAATACTTATGAATCCAAAAGGCAATTGTAGATAAAAGAAAAATATTAGAAAAAAAATGTTAAATAATTTTAATAAAAAAATTCACTACTTTTTTGAAACAATGAAATAATATTAAGACCTTAAGAGTGCGAATGAAAAGTTAAATAATAAGAACACATTATATCTAACACTTCTCTCTTTTTTCTATCTTTTGTAATGGTACAATATTTAATTTAATATATATATTATATATATATATATATATATTTATTTATTTATATTTACAAAAGTGACTCTCTGTTGGCATCAATATTAAACATATGGCAAAAGAGTAGCTTAAAAAGTATCCTTATTCTAAAACTTTGCATATTTCTCAATAATAATTTAATTATTAACAAAATTTTATTGAAGTTTATTATATTTTTGTCATTAGAATTTCAAATTGCATAATGACACGGGAATACTATATATATATATATATATATATATAGAGGAGAGATCTCTTTACTCTAGAAGTAATTGAACATGAATAATTGAACGGAATAAGTCTAGATAGACTTATTTCTAAAGTAAAAGGATTTTTCCTCATATATATATATATATATATATATATATAAATCTTAATACATACAATCTATTAAATCATTAAAGTTAATTTAATAACAGAAAAAATGAAATAATAATTCAAACTTTGTTCCTTTCATTACATATATAATTCTCGCTAATAAATTAAAAATATACAACACTTATTGTTGAAAAAACATCCATACATTTACTATTTGATTTAGGTGGCATCTCTGATAGACCACTAGCACAAGTGGTGTATGGGTGCACCATGAGTTTTGACCATAAGATCCATCTAAACTAATAGCATACTATACACCTTGTCACATAGGATTAAATTTTTTGAATTTTTAACTGAAGTTATTTTTTTTTTAAATTACCCAAAAAAAAGCACATGTTACGATGCACTGACGCAACTGTTATTCACGATTGGAACGGGCCATTCTGAAATTAGAACGGGCCGTTCCAGATGAAACAATAACACATGAATAATGGATTAGAATGGGCCGTTCCAGATGAAAAAAAAACACGTGATGACTGAATCAGAACGGGCCGTTCCGAAATCAGAACGGCCAATTCCAGATTCAAAAATAACATATGAATAGTTAAACCAGAACGGGTCGTTCTGAATTCAGAACGGCCCGTTCTAACTACATATTTGTCATAAGCACTTTTTTTTTAAGCAAAATAATATTTTTTTTTTCATTCTACTAAATTACATTTAAAATTTAAGTATAGTTTTTCAATTGATAATGTTTTTCTATTAGAATTAGAGGTTTACATTAATTATATGCGTAAATTTCTAATTCTAATTAGAAAATAACACCAAACAAAATTTTCTATTATAAATATAATTTTCTCTCATTTAAATCATTGCAAAAATTTGTTAGTTTTAGTTTTATATCTCGACATTTTCCTCTTAAAAAATGATGTTACCAAATATTTTTAAATTTGATTTACATTAGTTTAATTGCTTTTAAGGTGCATAGACTTTCGTGGTTTTGTTGCCAATGCTACAAACATTAGGCGTTGATTAAATGTCACCTAGTGTGAGGAGAGATACTCATTTTCTGTTTGGATTTGCATTGAGTACTAATGTATGTGGCGTTAAATATAAGTTAGACAAAGGCCCTCTGCCTAATTAGCAGACACGAGAGAATAGGAGACTCTTTGCCTCAATGACATTAGGTGCGGGTAGTTTGGTGCTAAGCGTGAGTGAGATATGAAGCCCCTTCCTCAATGACATCAAGCATCCTATGCATGAAGCCCAAAACTAGGCCTAATAAGCTTAAAACCCAAAAAGTCTTATACTAAGGCCCATAATACAAGACCAAACAATATAAACTCCTATACTACAAAAAATATGAGAAAGGTGGTCATCCATCCCAAGTAAAGAGAACCCTAGGCCCATCAAACCCATTGAGCTCACTGAGCCCAGAAGCAGTCAAAAGCCCAAAGGCCCATGAAGTCCAAAACTAGGCCCAATAAGCTTAAAACCCAAAAAGTCTTATACTAAGGCCCATAATACAAGACCAAACAATATAAACTCCTATACTACAAAAAATATGAGAAAGGTGGTCATCCATGTAAAGCTCAAGTAAAGAGAACCCTAGGCCCACCAAACCCATTGGGCTCACTAAGCTCAGAAGCAATCAAAAGCCCAAAGGCCCATGAAGCCCAAAACTAGGCCCAATAAGCTTAAAACCCAAAAAGTCTTATACTAAGGCCCATAATACAAGACCAAACAATATAAACTCCTATACTACCAAATATATGAGAAAGGTGGTCATCTATGTAAAGCCTAAGTAAAGAGAACCTTAAGCCCACCAAATCTATTGGGCTCACTAAGCTCAGAAGCAATCAAAAGTCCAAAGGCCCATGAAGCCTAAAACTAGGCCCAATAAGCTTAAAACCCAAAAAGTCTTATATTAAGGCCCATAATACAAGACCAAACAATATAAACTCATATACTACCAAATATATGAGAAAGGTGGTCATTCATGTAAAGCCCAAGTAAAGAGAACCCTAGGCCCACCAAACCCATTGGGCTCACTACGCTCATAAGCAATCAAAAGCCCAAAGGCCCATGAAGCCCAAAACTAGGCCCAATAAGCTTAAAATCCAAAAAGTCTTATACTAAGGCCCATAAACCCTAAACCCTACTGGTTTAACTGGTCTTTTTTTTTTGAAACTGGAACGGGCCTAGGGTTCTCTTTACTTGAGCTTTACATGGATGACCACCTTTCTCATATATTTGGTAGTATAGGAGTTTATATTGTTTGGTCTTGTATTATGGGCCTTAGTATAAGACTTTTTGGGTTTTAAGCTTATTGGGCCTAGTTTTGGACTCCAAGGGCCTTTGGGCTTTTGACTGCTTCTGAGCTCAGGGAGCCCAATGGGTTTGGTGGGCCTAAGGTTCTCTTTACTTAGGCTTTACATAGATGACCACCTTTCTCATATATTTGGTAGTATAGGAGTTTATATTGTTTGGTCTTGTATTATGGGCCTTAGTATAAGACTTTTTGGGTTTTAAGCTTATTGGGCCTAGTTTTGGACTTCAAGGGCCTTTGGGCTTTTGACTGCTTCTGAGCTCAGGGAGCCCAATGGGTTTGGTGGGCCTAAGGTTCTCTTTACTTGGGCTTTACATGGATAACCACCTTTCTCATATTTTTGGTAGTATAGGAGTTTATATTGTTTGGTCTTGTATTATGGGCCTCAGTATAAGACTTTTTGGGTTTTAAGTTTATTAGGCCTAGTTTGGGCTTCATTCATAGGATGCTTGATGTCATTGAGGAAGGGGCTTCATATCTCACTCACGCTTAGCACCAAACTACCCGCACCTAATGTCATTGAGGCAAAGAGTCTCCTATTCTCTCGCGTCTGGTATGACAAAACTCTCGCCCAACACTAATTAGGCAGAAGACCTTTTTCTAAATTACTTTAACGCCACATACATTAACACCCAATGCAAATCCAAACAGAAAATGAGTATCGCTCCTCACACTAGGTGACATTTAATCAACACCTAATGTTTGTGGCATTGGCAACAAAACGACGAAAGTCTATACACCTTAAAAGTAATTAAACTAATGTAAATCAAATTAAAAAAAATTTGGTAACATCATTTTTTAAGAGGAAAATATCGAGATATAAAACTAAAACTAACAAATTTTTGCAATGGTTTAAATGATATAAAATTATATTTATAATAGAAAATTTTGTTTGGTGTTATTTTCTAATTAGAATTAGAAATTTACGCATATAATTAATGTAAACCCTTAATTCTAATAGAAAAATATTATCAATTGAAAAACTATACTTAAATTTTAAATGTAATTTAGTAGAATGAAAAAAAAATTATTTTGCTTAAAAAAATAGTTAGAACGGGCCGTTCCGAATTCAGAACGGCCCGTTCTGGTTTAACTATTCATATGTTATTTTTGAATCTGGAACGGGCCGTTCTGATTTCGGAACGGCCCGTTCTGATTTCGGAACGGCCCGTTCTGATCTAGTCATCACGTGTTTTTTTTCATCTAGAACGGCCTGTTCTGATCCATTATTCATGTGTTATTGTTTAATCTGGAACGGCCTGTTCTGAATAGCAGTTGCGACAGCGTATCGTAACACGTGCTTTTTTTTTGGGTAAAAAAAAATAACTTTAGTAAAAAATTCGAAAAGTTTAATCCTGTGTGACAAGGTGTATAGTATGCTATTAGTTTAGATGGATCTTATGGTCAAAACTCATGGTACACCCATACACCACTTGTGCTAGTGGTCTATCAGAGAATTCACCATAAAGAACCTAAGACACACGTGTATATATATATAATTTAGCAAAAAATAATAATTAAAAAATAAAATTTTGTAAAAATTACTATTTGTATAGATATAATTAAAATAAAAATCTGATTTTGTGAAGTTCACAAGCTTTTTATTTTTTCCTTCCATCTTTTTAAACAACCAAATGAAGGAAAGAATTTTTTTCTTTCTATTTTTCTCTTCTCTCCCATTCTTTCCTATCTTTTTCATGCATACCAAGCAAGGCTTAATTACGACAAGTAGTTTGAAACAATTTTATTAATATCCAAACTCAATTATAAAAAAATATAAAATGCACTAAACTTAATTAAAAAAATCGTAAAAGGTTAAAAAAAGTTACTATAATTTATTTAAAATTAAAAAATTTGACTAGAAATTCTCAAATAATTTAATGAGCTATTTATGATTTAAGAATGGCGATGGTTAGTTAGGTGGGTAACTTTTATGAATCAGGGCACGTTAAATGACAGTAAACAAAACAGCAGATAGTGTCTAAGAAGCTGCCACGTTCATCTGAATAAGCTCTCTTCTCTTGATATGAGATTTGTCATACTCTGCTTCCGATTTCAAGACGTGATTTTTGAGTATGTACAATTTTTGCTTTCTAAGCAAAATAAAAGTCAACATTTTATCTGAAAACATCTTAGCCACGTGTTTGATACCAAAGTCTTTTTCATGCATTTCTACATACATTGCAATAATGGAGCCCAGCCTGTTAATTAAGTATCTGCATAGCACCACTGCTTCTTCTTTTGTCTTGTTCTTTATTTCTTGGACCATAACTCAACCTCTTTTGTTTCACTAATTCCTCTCCTTAGATATGGCTTGTGAAACCAAGACATATTTGGTTATGCTGCTTCTTTTGTTGGTTGCAAACTACATGCAACATTGTGTTCTTGGGGTGTCCCAAGTGCCTTGCCTTTTCATCTTTGGGGACTCTTTATCTGATAGTGGAAACAACAATCATCTTCCAACCTCTGCAAAATCTAATTACAGACCATATGGGATCGACTTTCCAACAGGACCAACAGGAAGATTTACCAATGGCCGTACAGAAATTGACATAATTAGTAACATTTCTTCTTTCTTTCTTTTTAATATTAAGCATTCAGTGCTGCAACCAAAGAGTTTTAGTGCAAATCTCGTTATGAATTTTGGGGGTCAAGTTTGTGAGTTGGGAACTTGGTATTGATTACTTTCTGTTATCTAAACAATTTTTTAATATTGCTGAAAGAACAAAAAAAAACATTTATTTAGTGACAAGTGTTTTTTCCTCTTACCCTATACGTTTTGTTCAAGCTCAGACTGAGGTTCTACAATTGCAGCTCAACTTCTGGGATTTGAGAAATTCATCCCACCCTTTGCAAACACTAGTGGTTCAGACATACTTGAAGGTGTGAACTATGCATCTGGTGGAGCTGGAATACGCCTTGAAACCGGCACATATTTGGTATAAATCACACTGCCAAAGTCTTTCTTGTTTTTCTTGATCTTCCAATTGGTTTAGGACAAAACTTGGATACATTAGAATAGGTACTGTTATTCTTCAATTAGAATTAGAGTACATTACATTTAGTCCTGACTTTAGTAATATACAATTATGCATATTATTAAATTAAAACTCAACTTTTAATTAGAGAATAATACTATTAGTACTTACAATATTGTACTATACCTAAGTTTTGTCCATTAATTTATGTTAAATGGCTAGAGGCCTTGTGTTACAATTCTCATGGATGCCACTAAATTAACTTCAAGGTTTGAAATTTGGGTCACAGTTGCAATTTTGTTGCGATCCTTGATGTCAGGGAATTGTGGACAAATGTGGCTGCAATTGCAGTTGCATTAGATCTCAAAAACTTTGACGTTGGGGATGAAATTGTGATTGCTGATTGTTTCTTAAAACCTTGATTAATGTTATATAATGCAGGGTGCTACTATCAGCTTGGGATCACAGTTAACAAATCACAGAGTCATAGTTTCTCAAATTGCTAGCAGACTTGGAAGTCCTGACTTAGCTCGACAATACCTTGAAAAATGCTTGTATTATGTGAACATAGGCAGCAATGATTACATGACCAACTACTTCAATCCCCAGCTCTACCCAACAAACAGCATGTATAGCCTTGAGCAGTACTCACAAGCTCTGAATGAAGAGTTATCTATGAATTTACTGGTATCCATTGAAATTTTCTGTTTCACAAATGGTTCATGTACTAAGATAAGAGTAAGATTTTTACAAAACAGAGTAAATATTTTTACTTAAATAAAACAATCATTTTAATCTCTGAATTTGGAAGACATTGTCATATTAATATTTAAAACTAAAAAATGTCAATGTTTCTGAAAGTGCAAATTGATAATTACATTAGTTCAAAATTTTAAAAAATATGTGATTAGAATGATAGTATTGATATTCATTCAAAGAAAAAATAATAATAAATAGTTAAGTTTACTAATTTAGAGACTTATTTTACATTTTGAAGTCTAACTTAACACTTTCTAGTTTAAGAGACCAATGTCACAACACTGGACTACTTTCAATATAAAAATGACTATTTACTCTTTTTTACATCTGTCATTGCTTAAAAATTAGCCCTTCTTTATAAAATATCAGGAAAACTTGTAAGATTATATAATATTACTGTTATATTAACTATAGTAGCATGTCATTTGAAGCTAGAGCATTTATGATATGATGGTTGAGCAGGGCAATTTAAATTTTATGGGCATGCAGGCTTTACAAGCCATTGGAGCGAGAAAGTTTGTGTTGGTTGGTTTGGGCCTTTTAGGATGCGCTCCATCTGTCATGAATTCTCATGGGACAAATGGATCTTGTGTTGAAGAGCAGAATGATGCAGCATTCAACTTTAATAACAAGCTTAAAGCTCTAGTGGATCAATTCAATAACAGGTTCTCTCCATATTCCAAATTCATCTCTACTCACACTGCACCAAGGGCCCTCAACAATACAGATGGTAATAAGTTAAGTTTTCTTATATATTCTTCAATCCACATATTATAAATTAAAAGCAATTGATTGTCTTCTACATAGGAGCATACAATATACTATTTATAATGTGTGTCAGGTTTTAAGGTTTCGGATGCTGCTTGTTGCCCATTGGGGTGTATTCCTGATCAAAAGGCGTGCTATAATAGGAGTGAATATGTGTTTTGGGATGAAGCTCATCCCACTGAGGCATGGAACCTACTCAATGCAATATCATCTTATAATTCTACCACTAATCCAGCCGTCACTTATCCAATGGATATCATGCATCTTGTTGATTGTGAAATTAAGAGGGATTTGGAGTTCACAAATGAGTCCAATTCAAAGTTAAGTGCCACTGAATAAGTTCTGGTTATCATGTAGTCGTTGGTATGAAGTTGAATTAATTGTATGAATGTGCAAAGTAATGATCTGCTACTGAATTGAATGACAAGATGGAATCAATCAAATGAGTAAATTTGCTACCCTTCCTCAAATTTGATCCGATTTGTGTTGGATTACTTTATTTTTTTATTGGTAGGAAAGATTACTATAATAATAATCAGATCAGAATTTAGGACCTTGTGAATACCGACTAAAATCTTGTGTTGTATTACTTGATTATTTATATCTTGTTTGCTATTATGGAATGCAATTCAAAATCATTACACCATAATGATTTGGTTTTTAAATTGTGTCTCTGAAATAAGATTTTATACTGTTTATCCCTTTTTATCATTGTTGAAAACAGCATTTGCCCTTTAGACTCAATATATTGGCATGAGTCATGCCATTTATTCAACACTTTTTTGTTTTGCTGAATTACTCTGTCTTTTTTTATCACATCACTCATCTTTGTCTTCCCTCGACCACACTTCTCTCCTTTTCTATCTCTATACTCTATTGGCATGAGTATAGAACAAATGATGTCAAAAATATCCTTATTCTGATCATTAACTTAGCATATTTCTCTAAAATAGTTTAATTTCAAACAACTTTAGTTAATGTCATTATATTTTTATCATTAGAATTTCAAATGGCGAAGACTGCGCAGTGACATGTAAAATAAGTCGTACTATTTTTTTTTTAGGACTAAGTCCTACTATTCTTAAGACACGCGATTTATTGTTAAAAGAAATATCTATATATGTACTGTTTGATTTAATACCTAGATGGAAAGGATACAAAGAATCTAAATTTATTCTTCAATAATTATATTTTAATTGATTATCAAGTATAAGTCAGTGTATTTAATAAATTTTGTTTCATAACCATCGGAGAGGATGGTTGAAACGAGAACCGTTAAATGAATCACTACCATATATTTATTGAAAATTAATTAATAAATAAATTTTGTATCCGGAATTCTTTTCTGATCACATTAGTTTCATGAGTTGAATTACGTTATGAGAATTGATGAGGATAAGGATTCAAGGAGACCAACATTGTGAAGGAGTATGGAGGATTGGACTATGGGCTATGGGCTATGGGCTATGGGCTATGAATTGATGGACTGGATTTATTGAAGAAATAGAATGGGCCCATTGCTTCCGCGCTTTCTTCTTGTTGAATGGTCCTTTGGGGTCTTCCCTATTACTATTTAAAGTGGCATGAATAAAAGTTGTAATTTCATAGTTCTCTTTTGAAGATAGCACCAACTATATTTACAACTTTTCAATAAAATATTATACTATCTTTCTATACCATCTTTATTTGTTACTTTCAATCATATTGTATGCACTTTTATATCATATTATATTTGTAAAGTATTTATTTATTTTTATAGGCATGTAAGGTATTTATTGATTTTATTAATACTAATCTTTAATATAAAAAAATAATTGACTGTTTTTAGTGAAAATTTTCTTTTAACCACTTTTTTTATCCATAAATATCTAATTCGAGAAAATTGATTAAACATTTTAAACCTAGTTCTTCCCACTCTAATACTAATCACATATTGGTAATAGTATTATATATATATATATATATAGAAGGTTTATATATAAAAATAAAAATATGTGCAATTTTTATTTTATAAATAATTGATATCAAGTATGAGAATAATTTATAAATTAAAACATGTAAGTGTATTTTATTTAATTAAAAAGAGAACAAATATAATCAACACTAAACTTTAAGAAGGTTAAGTAATTATTCCTAAAAAATATTTTTCCACATCATTTTTCAATATTTCTTTAAATATCTATATACAATGAGTTTGACTTAATTAGTTACCCAACCTTTTTTTAAAAAAATTTCAGGACAGACCTGGATCTTGATTGCAGGAAATATTTTTTATATTATTTTTATAAATAAATTAAAATTATCATCTTTTATATATTTCTGTTTTTATATTTAAAATATAACGTGACACAATTATAATGTTTTATTAGTTTTATTGATATTTTTTTATGTATTATATTTATAAAATTATAAATTATATTTTTGATTCCTCTAAAAAAAATTTAAATTTGATTATAGTTTCTCAATTTATTTTTGTCCTTTTAATTTGAATATGCATTACTTTTGGTCCTTAAAGTTATCTATATAGTATTTTATAATAAATTGTTGTATAAAAATATATTAGTATATTTATTTTATATTTGTTAACATTGTTATTTATTTAATATAATAAAACATGTTATATTTGATTAAAATTTTAATACATTATTTGGTCTATGAAATTTTTTGAAAATTTTTATTAGGTCTCTAAACTTAAAAAATTTGTAATTGAGTCATTTTTTGTTTGTTTGTAATTTAGTCTTTAGGACTATAGATCTATTTACATTTTTTGAAATACGACATTTTTTTATATCTTAATATTTGTAGAGTTACCTTGAATTATTATTATTATATATAATTGCGCATGTCTAACAAATTTTAATCGATTTTTATTGTTTTTTTAATCATAATTTAATCAATAGAATTGAAAACCTAATACAAATAAATGTTGATATCGAATAATAATTTAATATAGTTGTCTAAGTACAAGAAAATAAAAAAAATATTATGTCAAATTAAATATCATGGATTATGAGCTTATTCCTAATTGTAGAGATTAAATTATAAAAATATAAAATAATAAATTATATAAAAAATTTAATTTAATACCTAATAAAAAATTTTCAAATGAATTTATAAATCAAATGATATATATTAAACGTGAATTAAATTATGTATCTATTTTTATATTATAAATATTTATATTTAATATATATATATATATATATATAAATAAGTACTCAAGCTTATTGTTTCGTCCCGAATCAATGAAGTATTCTCAAACCACTTTTGGTTATCCAAGTATTCTCAACCACTCCTGGTTCGTCAACTTCACTTGCTAACGCTAGTATCCTTAAACCACTTCTGGTTCCCCAATGTCGCCACCGGCCCGAAACGGGCTTTCGGCATTCGCGAAGGATGGTTGGACTCTTTTATTTGTTTAAAAAAAATATGGATTGCTAGAATGACTTATTCTCAAACTGAGACCTTGTCAAACGAGCAATTTTATTAAAAGGCTCACCAATCCATGTTAATCCCAAGCGGGACCCTCCATGGATTAGCGGTTTTCATAAAAAGGAAGGGTTCATGGAGTCGCCACCAATGTTTTACTCAAAACATTGGAAAAAGAAGTTTAAGGCAATCGATT